AACGATTTATTGAAATACAGGTTAGAAAAATGAAGCAGGCCTGTCCTCCTTTCGGAAAAATTAGATCCGCCTCTGATTAGCTATCCCCGTTTGATACGCCTATGCTAATGAATGTGTCTCTTTTTAACTATGAATTTGTATACATGATCCAACTTGTAGATAACAAATATGTATATATGAAATTTGAATCAATTCAATTCCATATCGTAGTTAAGTCTCATCTCTCTCAACAAGTATAATACAGTTATAAAACTAACAATGCAGCATCAAATTGTGAGTATAATATACATTAAAACAAATCAAAGCTATTGATGTTTATTGAATGTTCACAGTGCTTCATCTTTTTATACCATTTTTGAAAAAGAAATTAAGGAATTTAAGATATAAACAAAAAATTCAATAAAAATTACTGTAAATATATGTTAACATAGATACGTAAATATGTATTCTTTTTATGAAATCATTATAATGAGTGGCAACTTATTGCTTTCTGAAGGATATACTTAATAAAATAACTATTTTTATACAGTTTTCCATCATTCAGAATAAAATCCTTGTTGTAAGCAAATTTGAATTTTCCAAAAATAACTATTAAACATTGCTAATTATCTATTAGAATATCTACCAAATAAGAAGGAACTGGCAGGAGATACCCAAATGGACAAATAAATCGTATAAAGTAGACTTTTTAATTGTAAAGCATTTGTTCAAACATACATGTTTGAAAATATATATCAGCTGTGTTTGAATCCAGACTGCATTCTTAAAATCTTTTTTTTTATATTTGTATAAACGAATAATACTTCTGATATTATAAATGATCTGATATGTACCAATATTACAAAAATAAGAGACATTAAGGTTGGTATTCTCATGATTTAAACAACGGGTAATTTAAAACACAAGTTAAATCTGGGGTTAATTCGAGCAAACCTATGTACCTTTAGCTTGATTGTTTATTTATTTTAGCAGGAATATAAAAATCTCTATGTTGAGAGAAAATCTCTGTCATTGAAAATAATTAACAGGTCATAAAATTCTATCAAATTATCCCATATCATCTAATTAATACTATAGATCAATCTCCAGAATCCAAGTTTTGATGACTTTTGTTGATAGGTTAATTATAAATTTCAAATAAATTGAAGGATACACTATGTCAATAGATAGTTTCATGTTTGATCCATTTATTACCAAAAATAATATAGTGCAGAATAAGTTTGACTCATATACATTTAGTTATAACATAAACCTAAACATTGAACCTCATGTAAATTTAACAAATGAATATTCAAAATTTTAAGCCTTTATTTTTCAGATTCTGTTACTTTTGAAATTTACAGACACTGGTAAAAACATAAAATACATACATTTGTTCTCATGATAATTAATTAACCACCCTTAAAAATCAACCCACCATTCATCTAACATGTAATGAAGGTATTGTAATATAATTTTGAATGACATCATTGAAACAGAAATCAAACAACAACAAACAAAAAAATGTCATTTAACTTTATCCTTTAAGTCAATATACAACACGCAACACGCAACACGCAACTCGCAACACGCAACATGCAAAATAGCAGTACCCGAACATTTCATTTTATGTTACAGTTTCAGGCATTTCGTAATTTCGCGTTTTTGTACGTATCAATATAGTCATAATCAACATAACATCCATCAGATACAGCCATTAATTGCAGAACATTTAACCCAAAGGATTGACGGGGAAATTGAAATAGGGTCACCGGGACTTCTCCAATCGCAGAACATACAACCCCAAGGATTGACGGGGGTATTTAAAAAGGGTCACATGTATTTCTCAAATTTTGAAGTAATACTAAAGTAAAATTTAAGAGGGGTGTATATTTTGCTGTGTGGAATATACTTACATAAATAAATACGCAGCCACGTCCCGTCAGAATGGGGACGTTATATTGAATGCATCATTAAGAAGATGTTGAATGAGTGCCAATGAAACAACTCTTCATCCAAGTCACAATGTATAAAAAGTAATCAATTATAGGTCAAAATACGGCCTTCAGTACGAAGCCTTGGCTCACACCGAACAGCAAGCTATATGCACATTAAGGAACCAACAAGTTTTTGATCGGTTCCGTTGATGACTTCTTGCAAGGACTTTTCTGCTCCGTTTCGACATACCCTATTTAGAATATCAGTCTGAATTTCGAGACCTTCATCCTGGGCGACCCGCATCGCAAAACCTACATATATTTATTGTTAATTTGTTCTCGTCCAAAATAAGCATGAAATATTTACCAGTGGACGTTATTGATCTGCAAATTAGATAAGCTCAGTAAATATGTTTTTTTTTGTTAATGCCTATAAAGAACTGTTATCAATTATAAGTTAATTTATTTTATTTCGTTTTAAGCTTTAAGCATTTAATGACGTGAAAACAACAAACTGATTGAATCCTGGGCATTTAAAGAACTTCAAAGGTGTCTTGTGGTTTATGACGTTTTACAATTTTACGCATCTCGTTCTGGATGGTTATTTCTTAATTTCGTCAATAGAAAATATTCCCTCGTCTCTACCTGCACGTCTCGTTTGTTGATCATGTCATAGTAGCATTTGAAATACGAACGATAATGAAAAATCAATAGAATTGAAACAAAACAAATCTGAGTTTTTTTTTCTAATTTTGAACAATCCATATTCCATAAATTATTTTCAATCAGGAGAAAAAGATTAATAGTAAAAGGAAACCTCAGACCTATCTAAACCTTAATTATCAGCCCCCACTTTCCTTTCAAATTCTTGTAAACAATTTTATTTGGGGTCAGCCCCTCTTGCGCGCGTCCTGTCTGCATCTATTGCATTTTTGTGGTTATGATTCGATGTCATTAATAGCACCCACTTTCCTTAGTTTGTATTGTACATTAACATGGATGAACGAATTTCCTGTGAGCACAAAATGTATTTCATCATTATTAGGTAAAAGTTGTTTACAAATAAACAGTTTTAATACATTTTGACATGCCTTTTGGTTTTTGTATTAATCCGACCACAAACCATGACGAACATATATAGGATTGACGAAGTATACTCATGTGTTCATGCGCAATCACTGCAAACTATTTATCAAATATAGAAATGAATTCAGAAATTAGCGTGTGTACAGTGGTTGTACGCAGAAACAAATATAGTAAATGCTATAAAATGGGTATAGTAAATGGGGGGGGGGGGGGGGGGGGGGGGGGGGAGTATCCCATCAGGATAGGAACAAACCCGTTCCCTCTCCACAGATACAAAAAACAAAAACGGTAGTTACTCATCAAATTAAACTTTGAATAAAATCATTCTTCTGAATTATTTCTCTTACAGTTGCAACTTTTTATTTTGTTGTCTTTGTGGTTTTTGTATTATCTGTGTCTATCATCTCTCTCCCAGTTATGGGTCTAGCATACTCGCTGTTCAAAGGGAATATTTAAAAGACCATGACATTGTGATTTTATTTCTTCTTATTTTAAATCAAATTACAATTATGATTATCGGGACTATATTAACAAGTTGTATCTGTAGAAATCATCTTGAAAACGAAATTGTAATGGAAGATTTGTTTATAAAGCTCGAAAATTAAATATGATCCAATCAAACTTGCAAGTCCTTCACATTAATTAAGTTGTAAATAAAGGATATTGTAACATTGTAGTAAGATATTTAAATATTGTCGTTATTGGTATTGGTATTAGTATTTACTTTTATTTTTATTGACAATAGTTCAAAACATAACTTCATTTCTCTTATAAGTACCCAATTATGGATATATTCTGTTCCTCCATCCTGCAAATATTTATTTTTTCGCATTGAACGACGTGTTTCTCCCACTCAAATATATTTGGGATGTATTGATTTTTTTATTCGTTGATACCATAGTCTTTCTATTTATCTAAACTATTGTTTAAACTAACGTTCGGTAACTGTGAGTCGTCTTATTTTTGTTGTTGTCATTTTTGTCATTTTGTTAGTTGCTTTTGTAATTATTGCAGCTGTAATGAATCAAACCCTCTCAATGATTTTTTTTACAAATCTATTTTATCTTGTGCTACTACTCCATTGTACCAATTTAAGGATTGAGCGCTCACAATCATATTGCATGTAACCCCACAAAATACTTGAAAGTGCTTATTCGATGCCAGCAACCTGTGGTCAAATGGTTGTTATTTATTGCCTTCTGCCATAATAGTTTCTAATGCACTGTAACAGCGATTTACGTAGATTAGGTCGATTGTTGTCTTTTTGAATTGTTTCACGTTTTCCTTATCAGAGGCATGTTATTGCTATACGAGATTTGAAGACAGCACAGTAACCCGTAGTGTGAATAGTTATCTCATTGGCAATCATACCATATCTCCTTATTTTTTTATTATTTTTATTATTACAACATTACAAACCACAGAAATCTAGAATCTTCATGAATGAATAAATTTACATGTTTATAATTAAAATAACATACAGGTATGTTTACATGTACATTCATTCATGTTTATGTCACTTGTCAGTCGAAATGGAAAGCGAAAGTCTAACGTACATGTTGTGATATTTGAAAAGGTAAACAGGAAGGAGACAAAAATGCAATATGTATGCATGTAAAATGTTTTTTTTTTTTTGTTAAACAAAAACATACAGGCGCAGATCCAGGATCTGAAAACTAGGAATTATATGACCTTATAATATGTTGACCCAAATTTGGCTGTAATTTTACCTTTATAACAATAATTTTCGTTTTTAGGGGACGCACGCCAGTTTCGCCCCGCCTGAATTTGCATCTGTCATATATTTGTTTAAAAAATATAGAAACTTATAAATTTTCATATAGTATCTATCATAGCTGTATGTCGATACTTCCCAGTCTCAACTTAATTCCAGTGAACTAAATATCTACGCAAAGTCATGAGTTTCTGGACTAAGACGGAGAAGAGAGTTTTGCATCTCAAAATATATTTTCTAACTCTAAAATTGTTTTTTTTTAGATAAAGTGCAGGTTATGATATGCACACATATCAAATTGTGCTTCACAGATTGATTTCTAAACTACTTCAGTATGATGATGAACCCATAAGAAGATAGTAAAACCGAGAAGCGTCTGAAAAAACAATTATAAAACGCCTTGATCCTTCAAAACCAATTTCCAACTCAAGTACTTCCCATGTGCTGAAGATAAATATGATTTTAACATTACAAAGATGAGCTCTTACTGTTTTAATCAGAACTTCCGGAATCGTTTAAGATAATTATGGCTCTGCACGTGCAATTAGCGTGCATGCACAATTAACATCAACATACGGAATCTGGAATCTGGAAACAATTTTGTGGTTTGTTATACTTACAAAGATGTTTCTTGTATTTCACCAAACAATTAAGTGAAACGTTTGTTCGGTTGTAGATTGTGGCTTTAATCATCTTTATTCACAACACGATTTTTCAAGTTGACTGTCCAAAAAGGAGAGCCGTTTTTAACGTTAGTGGATAAACAACCCCTGTTCTGTTTTAATAACAATACTTTAATTATAGCAGCTGCTCCTGTATGTTTGTGGAATTTGAAATATGACGATTGAGTTACTTTATAAAAATCGATTTGAATATTTGCCAAAACATTTTCGTAGTTTTATTGCATAGCTTATTATTAACCCTTCGCTTTGAAAATTACAAGACATATGTTTTCAATCATTTTAGTTTACATCCTCCAGTATAAATTTACCACATACGTTTCGTAAAGGTTTGATCAGGAAAAAAATAACAACCTTCACTTTGATCGAAAATTGCAAATGTAACAAGATATAAAAAATGGTTAGGGTTAGGGTTAGGGTTAGGGGTTAGGGTTAGGGTTAGGGTTAAGGTTAGAGGGATTTTTTTATAACATGCATTTGTTTAAGTAGGGTACACACTGCATCTCTTCTGTTATCCCGTTTGTTCATCAGTTGAGGTCTGTATCCGAGGTCTGTACATAAATCGACTTTTTGAAGATGATAAACGAATGTTTTCTTCTTTCTTTCTACACCCAGTCAGGCTGTCGTGATAATGTGTTGTTCGTAATTATTTTATCTTTGTGTGTACGTCTATTTTCTTAGATGCGTTCGGTGTTAGTGGTTGGTGCTGTCTGTTGTATGATGATAACTGGTATAGTTTTTATTATTTACTTTCTAAGATTTTTTTTTTTTTTATTTCTATTAATTCTGGTATGAGAACAGGGGTTGAGAAAAGGTTATACTACAAAAGAACACACATTTAATATCGTTAGAAAAATGTTTCAATAAAGATTATATGACAGCACATAGCATAGAGCCTGGGAGGAAAAGTGTATCGGCAAAGAGGATATCGTCGGAATATATCCTAGAGCCTCTGAGGAAAAGTGTCACAACAAAGTGGATATGTCGGGATATATCATGGAATCTGTGAATGAAATTGTTACAACAAAGAGAAGATGTCGGGATACATCGGAGAGCCTATGAGGATAAGTGTAACAGCAAATAGGACATCTTGAATGAAGCTAATTGTCTGGTGACAATACTGCCGGTTTTGTCATATTCTTTACTTTGACGACCGAATCTGACTTTGGGATTGTATGACGGCCGTTGTATTCATAGTTTCGTTTAATGGTATAAGCTTTAGTTACCCTTAGAAAACACTGTCAACCACGGCGAAGCCAAGGTTGACAATGATTTTTCGAGGGGTACCAATCTGCTCTATCACCCTCTCAACTATGTGTTATTTAATTTATTATACTGAATGTCCCATCATTGTTGTCTTTTACAGATGAATTTGATTTATAAGTATTTTCTATGACGTCACGTACATAACAACGTTACGGGTATCAGAAAAATCAACAGAAGTGAAGCAAGATGTTTTATTTTTTTTTATTTTGACAGTCAAATAATAAAATCTGAGCCAAAACGTAGAACTTAAGCATTGTCTTTATTTACTTGATGTTAATTCAATTCATTGTCCTTTAAATTATCGATTTTTGATTGGTCTGGACGAGAGGGTGACATTCAAAAAAATTGTCTCCCGCTCAGCCATGGGATAAAGTAAATTATCTACCTCGTATTAGCCAATCAAAATATGGCATTTTTAACGTGAAGTATAATAATTACCATTATTCACCAATTGAACACTTGAACAAAGATTATCATTACAACACAGAAACTTCGGCCATGATCTGTATGTTTGAAGGAAAATTTGAAGTTAATGAAAAGTTTTACGGAAAATTTGGCAGAAAGAACATGTACAGATTCCCGAATATCTTTGAAAAAAGCTGTACTATAATGCGCTGAAATAAAACAAAGCCACAATGAATCCTCGGTTTCGGTGGTACTGTTAAATATTTATATTTTATTAGTTTAGTCTCCGTGTACGTGTCATGTATATCTTTCGACTTCCACGATGGACCACTCTCATTCAATTGCTATTTTTTGTTTGTTTGTTTCTGGGCTTTTAAAATTTGTTTTAAAATTTATGAAATTCTGTCAGTAAATTTGTTTAGTAAATTTAATATTGATATTTTCCCTGCACATAATTTTAAAAACACGTGGAACTATACATCCTTGACCGAGATGTATTTAAAGCACACGCATATATTTATAAACAATCAGAGCATTCGGTCAGACGCATGCAGTGCCTCGTTTCTGGTATAAATTTGTAATCTGATTTATGTGTACTTTATATTCATAGTTCCTTCCATCAATTAAGGAAAAATCAATTCATATCACATTCGTGCAGGCTGAACAAAAAAATTTGATTATTTCAGTTAGAAATTTATTATGAATTTACGACAATGATTGAATAACACGGAAGTGGATTTACTTAATGGTGATTGTAGATCTCTGGTATTCTGTGTTACATTTATTCACAACTTGTTCAGATTCGTGACGTTTTAGAAGTTGACATATGTTATAGACACTTGTAAATTGTAGAAGACCGTATCTTGACCTCTTGATGTCTTTTCTGGCTATTCTTTCATTGACACATGACCTACATTTGTACATTTAACTCTCCTTTCATTCATATGTACAAATCCTAATGAATTATTACAAAAATGAAATACTGATAGCGCTTAACATACTGTATAAACACTGAACACTTTAATTTTGCAAAACACTCATTTGCAAATCCGGCGCCGCACTTTCTTGAAGATACAGTGTCCTGTAAAGAACCAAAATTGTGCAGAATAACATGGGATTTATTAAATACCAAGTTTTAACGCTCTAGACCATTAAGTTGTTTTGCAATTTGAATTTAAAAAAAAAACTTTAGCATAATCCCATGAGATTTTGAATTAACCCCCATGGGATTATGAGTAAATCCGATAGGATTTTTTTTTAGTCCTATGGGATTTATTTTATCTCATGGGACAAAACAAAATCACATGGGACAAATAAAATCCCATGGGATTCAGATTATAAATATACAGTAACATGTATGTTAAAATGAATTCTGTTTGGAAGTAAAATGTTTCACATACATGTATTTTTAAAATAGTAAATGTAATATAAGAAATGCAAGTCACTAAACTACAATATAAAGGGTTGAAGGATTTTATTTGAAGTCAATGAACTTTAACTGAACTAAAATGATACTATAACATGTCAAATGCATGTGTTGTATATTTTTTTCTAAAAAATTAATAAGAACTGTTTTAAAATCTTGTTTATTTCATTATGAAAACTAAAACTGAAACATATTTCATATTCTGACTGATATTTGAACATAAAAGAAAGAAAAAATTGACAAAGCACAGTTTATAGTTAACTCTTTTCATGAGGTATTGTTTTCATTGTTATTGTTTCATTACAATAAGCAACCGATTTGTATCTCGTACCTAATATTGTGTTCATATTTGCAGATTTAATAAAATAAACACTTTTCATGTTAAGTTAAGTTTTCTTCTGTTTCAGCTTGCTGTGTACAATAATTTAATCCACTATATAAGAGTTCAGTGAATAAATTATTCCATTTCACATTAATCCAAAAAGCACACAATGTAGAAAAATATCAACTTAAAGTTTCCTCTTCGGTATTGACCTGCTGATGATCATGAAAACCAAAATGTCTGACATATAATACACAAAATTCGAAAAAAAATGTTGTAAATGGACAGAAAAACAGGAAGAAGCTAGAGACTTTAAAGAACATGTGTCTTCAACAAGGGCTATATTTTAATAAAAATCATCATTAAAGAGTAAACTGACAATTTCAGTAATGTTCAAATGTTTGTAGATTTTATCCTGCTGATCATTTTTGCTTTTTCAAGTTTCTATCTACTGTAAATTCAGATATCAAATACATATATCTGTATGTAGTTGTTCCTAAATTCGCAATAGTTAAACTCGCATTTTTTGTTAATTCTTCAAAAATCGCAATAATAAATGCACGCATTAATTGCTGACTTTACAGTATCTATTATATTTTTTTAAGATATACATGTAAGACAAAATGCAAAAATTGGTAAAAATCGTCATTCAAGGGCAATAATTCTGATGTCTGATTTCATCTATGTTGACTTATTTATAGATCATTTTTGCCTTTTAAAGATTCAATCTATCTATTATAGTTTTTAAGGTATTAGGCAATAACGCAAAAAATTGGTAAGAATCATCATGAAAGGGCAATAACTCTAACAAGGAGTCGTCGGAAATTTTAATCATGATTATTTGTAGATCTTGTCTTGCTGACCATTTTTGATATTACAGTTTCTGTATACCTTTTATAATTTTCAAGATAATATGCAAACAAATTTTAATATGGTAAAATTGGTCATTTAAGGGCAAAAACACCTATAAGAAGTCGTCTAACAGTTTTGACTTACAAGAACAATAGCTCAACGTTCTGAACATTTTTGCCCCTGTCAGATTTTCTCCAATTAAAGAAGTTTTTAAATAAATAGGCAAAACTTGCATTTTCCCCATATGTTCTATTTTAAGCCATTTCCGCCATCTTGGTTGGTAGGCAGGGTCATCGAACACATTTTTTAAACTAGATACCCCACTGATGATTGTGGCCAAGTTTGGTTAAATTTAGCTTAGTAGTTTCAGAGGAGAAGATTTTTGTAAAAGTTAACGGACGACGACGGACGACGGATGCCAAGTGATGAGAAAAGTTCCTTTGGCCTTTCGGCCAGGTAAGCTTAAAAGCTTATTTTATCATGTTTATGAAAATTTTGAGAAACTTTCATTTGAATCTTACTTGTGAGTACTCAGACTCTTATTTCATTGCTTTGTGTCTATGGTTTTTATATTAATTGTATTGCGCCTTGTACCGATCTTTTGAGTTGAAATTTGTGTCTATGGTTTTTATATTAATTGTATTGCGCCTTGTACCGATCTTTTGAGTTGAAACAATTGCAACAGATTTTTACAGTGTGTTCTTATGTTGTGTTGTTAAACCACTGGTTACGGGAGGGTTGAGTGCTCACAAACATGTTTTGTTTTGATAAGTTGTTACTGACTTTGAACTAGCTGTCAGTAACTTTGAGTACTAACAAATCTGCATTGTGTGTCTTTTTAGTTATGGGGGATGTATAAATTTCCTGCAAAGTCTGGTCTGTGTGTTTGTTAGATGTTTTTCTGCTTTGTATCGTTCTAATGAGTTAAGTCCTTTTCAACTGATTTTTTATAGTTTGTTCTTATGTTGTATTGTTACACCACTGTCCCAGGTTAGGGGAGGGTTTGGCGCCAGCAAACATGTTCAACCCCACCATATTTTGTATGTGCCTGTCCCAAGTAAGGATCCAGTAATTCAGTGGTTGTCCTTTGTTGCTGTATATCATATTTGTTTTCCGTTTATTGTTTTGTACATAAATCAGGCCGTTAGCTTTCTCCTTTGAACTGATTTACATTTGTCATCTCGGAGCCTCTTATAGCTTACTATGCGGTATAGGTTTTGCTCATTGTTGAACGCCATACAGTGAACTATAGTTGTTAACTTTTACATCATTTGGTCTCTGGTGAAGAGTTGTCTCATTTGCAATCATACCACATCTTGTTATTCTTATATGAACCCTGCCATATTCTTAATGTGCCTGTCTCTAACTTTAGACCAGAACAAGGATATTTTTGATAAACGTCCAAATATATTTTCTCATTGAAGTAAAAAAGAAGTTGAACTTTCACTGAGGCTTGAAGTATTGCTGGTTCTGTTGTTGGCATTTTGTATATTGCAAATTCTTGTGAAAAATGAAATGTTAAAGTTTTAACATTGATCTATACATTTAACTAGGGAAAATACCCAAATGTTAATATAGAGAAGAAGACATAAACTGTTTGTTATGTAATATAAAAACATGAAGATGTATGATTGCTAATTTGAGAACTCTCCATCAGAGACCAAATGACGTATGAGGTTTGCAACTGTTGACACCGTACGACCTTCAACAATGAGCACAACCCATTAATTAACTAATGGAAAAGTAATCTTAACATATTTTCATACAATTTCTTATAAATCAAATAGATTTAAGACAGTATGGTATCATGCAAATACAAAAGTTCAAGCATGAAGTCTTCAATAATATCATAAGTAGTACAAGTAGTATAAGGTGCCAGATATGTATTCTTGTTAAGAATGAATCTCTCTTAGGGAGCAACCATATAACTTCAACGGTATGTTTTTTTGTCCGCGTCCGAAAATTATTTTTTAGTTTTTCGACGCTATCAAAAATAAAAAAAATTTTTTTTAATTTAACACTATAAGGTATGACGTACATGTAGGTATCACATCTCTTTTTAATGTTTATGTGGCATGTATATTTTAATGATTTATAGATATTTAAGTAAAAGTGCATTTTCAACGACATAAAATTAGAAGCAAATCAATTACCAAACATCACAAATTGCTATCTTACGTTTCAGATAATCTCTCTCTCTCTCTCTCTCTCTCTCTCTCTCTCTCTCTCTCTCTCTCTCCCTTTA